TGTAATGAATCAATTATAGAAAGATCATATCAAAGCCAGGTGAGGGTGGCTCATGTCTATAGTCCTACCAACCCTGGTGGCTGAAATCTAAGGGCCGCAGTTCAAAGCCTGCCTGGGAAGAAAAATATGTGACACTCTATCTTCAATTAGCCAGAAAAATGGCAGTGGAAGCATGGCTCATGTGGTACAGCATAAGCTATGAATCACAAAAACGAGGAAGAAGATGAGGCCTTGAATTCAAGCCCCAATACCAGCATATATATACACACCCAAAGAATTTTCATATTGAAGAAATCTTCAAGTTCAACCAGATCTGTCATTTTGAATGTAAAAATCATCTTCTACAACATCAATTTTTCACTAATCAGCTCCAAATTCACTATTTATCACTTGGCTCCTGATCAATGTGCACAAGTATCCCACCTTAATTTTCCACGACTCCTCTTTGTTTGGGTAAAGTACACAACACAGCTGATAAAGATTGACTTCTCCTAGATACAAGCAGGACTGTGTTGTATCTCTTAAAATGCAGGGACCAGAAAAAATGTAATGATTGTAGGAATACAACCAGCACTGGAAGAATAAGGCTACCACCTCAATATTGACATTTTGTCTTTCTAGTACAACCAAAGATTATAATGGGGTATTCTTTTTTAGAGGGGAGGGGGAATGCAATATCCTTGCTCGAGTAATAAATAAAATACAAAATATTTAATTAGTTATTACAGAATCATGTTTATATCTTCTTTATGCTATGCTCAGTTTTATTGATCTGACTTGTTCACTAATACTTGTTCACTAATGGCTGTTTAAACCATGTGGGATAAGTTTACATTCATTTCTTCAACTTCCCATCCTATCAGATTCACTTCCATCTACAGCTGTCAAAAGACAAACCACTCCCAGGTTTATCAAATCCATGACCTGTTCTATATAAACACCATAAATATCATCCAACCATTTGAACAACAGTTGGGGACCCACCTGTATTTTCGTCTATAGCTTACAACATCTGTCTTCTCTCTTTTGTCCCTGATTTCCACAAGTCTGCCCATATCACCAGCAGCCATCAATGATCTTTTCTCAAAAGCCAGGTCAGTAAAATGAGCTGTATCTCTTCTTATAAGAAGTCTTCTTGCCGGGTGCAGGTGCCTCACACCTATAATCCTAGCTATTCAGGAGGCTGATGGTTCAAAGCCAGCCCAGGCAGCAAAGTCCATGAGACTCTTATCACCAATTAACCACCAGAAAACTGGAAGTGGCGATGTGGCTCAAGTGGTAGACAGCTAACCTTGAGCTGAAGAAATGAGGGACGGTGCCCAGTCCCAGAGTTCAAGCCCCATGACTGACAAAAAAAAAAGTCTTCTTGCCCTACCCCAACAACAGGCCTCCTTCTATGATTTCTAACTTTGGCTCTCTCATCTAATATATAATCCTCATTTGTCAAAGGCTGACTTGTTCAGTGGTAACTTTTGCTGAAACATCCAATGTTGGTGCTTGACAACAGGATTGTATGCAGTTGACAACCACCAGATAAACAAGAGTGCTTCATCACTAAGACCTCTTGTTCAGCTAAGGTCTAATTCTTTAAGGCATGGTGCTATCAGGCCTTTCATTTCTTCAAAGGGACTAACAATCTATTATAAAAATACTGCATCTCTAGGAACTATATCTTTCTACATAATTCAGTATTATCAAAGAGTTTGCTGAGAACATACACATGAATTATAATTGAGAACTATATAGTGCAATATATTAATAGCTGAAAGGTACAGGGACAAAATCAAGAGAAAAGGCAAAAATATGGAAAAAGAACAGGACTGGCAAAACTAAAAAGGTGGGGCTGCTAGTGACCATGATGATCCAGATCATACACATTTCCTCTCCAATGCGACAACAAAATCCTAACTTTCTCATAGAAAGAGGGTGAAGCTATGTTATCACCAGTCCCCAAACAGGACTCTCTGAAATAACACTGAAGTTCTCTCTTACAGAAGGTGCTTAGACGTGGATGGAAACTAATGGAGGGTTCAGTTCCCCATCTATAATATGAGAATCACAGGACAGATGCCTTGGAGGCTTCATGAGACACAAACAAGAAACTTGAAAGCAATTCTTATATTGTAAAATGACATAAGCAATCCTATGCAAAGCTATAACTGTATGAGAACACATGATATGATGATATAAAAATAATGAAAAGTACCTAGAATGCATGTATAAAATGGAACAATGAAGCTTGTTAAGACTGGTTTAAGCAGGGGAGAGAAGATTAAGGAGAGTGATAGTAGGGGTGAGTCTGATCAAAATTCATTGTATACATATATGATCATGTCAGACTGAAACCCTTCGTCAAACTGATGTATGCTAATAAGAGGATGGAATAAGTTAAAGAGAGTATTGAGTTAGTGAGCAGAAGAAGATGACATATTTAGAAAAGAGAGTAAAAAAAAGAACTAGAATTTCCTTTCTCCTCAAAGCCATTGAACAGGACTGTGGAAGCACCAATCTAGAAGAGTAGTTCTTATTACAGCATGAGGGTTCTAGAGACCAGGGTAGAGCCTGGGAAATTAGTGGATGATGTACAGCACACCCAAGGCAGAATCTGCTAAAATAGCCTATTACTGTATTCAATGAAGGAATCTCTGGAAATAAAAAAAAATATTTAAATCAATATCAATAACAACAAAGACAGACCTCTTGTGTCCATATCTTGGGGTTCATTTCTTATATGGACATATGTACATAGATTTTTTCAGCTTTTCAGCTCATCTGATAAGATTATCCTATATGCATACTAATTCTTACAAATAAGGGAAGACATGGGACCTAACTTTCTTTTGGACTGGCTTATTTCACTTAATATGATTTTTTCCAAGTCTTTCCATTTCCTAAAAAATGAGGAAGTGTCATTCTTTCTGAAGGAAGTATAGAATTCATATATATATATATATATATATATATATATCACATTTTCTTGATCTGCTCATCTACTGAGGGGCATATGGGTTGGTTCCATATCTTAGCTATGATGAATAATGCTGCAATAAACATAGTTGTGCTGGTAGCTTTAATATGGCCTTGTTTGTGATCGTTTGGGTAAATGCCCCAAAGTGGGATGTATTCCTTGCCTTACTCATGTAACTGTAATACCTCTGTATAGCATCTTTACAATAAAATAAAATAAAAAAACAAAATCTGAAAATCAAAAACTAAAACTAAACAATAAACCTTTTCCCTGCGTTAACCATTTTATTTTTTGGTGCCAATCCTGGAACTTGAATTCTAGGCCTGGGTACTATCCCTGAGCCTTTTCTGCTTAAGGCTGGCATTTTACTACTTTAGCCACAACTCAACTTTTGGCTTTTTGTGGTTAACTGAAGATCAGTCTCATGGAATTGTCTCCCCAGGCTGGCCTTGAACCATGATCCTCATATCTCAGCCTCCTGAGTAAATAGGACTACAAGAATGTGCAACTGGCACTTGGCTCTAACAAAAATCAGAACTGTCCCATGAGTACTTCACTTAATAGAAGCAGTACAATCTAAACTACAAAGACAAAAATGAAAGCATCTTCATTCTTCTATTATTACCAAATGGACAGTCTTCCTTCAGTTTTCTTTTTTTTTTCCTTCAGTTTTCATGGGGGGATTAGTTCCAATCCCTTGTAGATACAAATATTCCTGGATATATATTAAGTTTCCCTAATTCCTTATATAAAATTATATAGTGTCTGCACAACCCTCCACTCATCTTCAAATATGTAAGTGTATGACTATTCTCTAACTTACCCATAATGCCTAATACAATGCAAATGAAATGTAATGACAAGAAGAACATCTACACAAGTTCAGTATAGATATTTTTCCCCAAATACTTTCAATTTGAGGTTGGTTGAATTTATGGTTATGGAAACCCACAGACACCAAATGCCTGTAGTTTTAAAATTTTACAAAAAAACAAAAAACAAAAAACATTGACACTGATCTTTTTTTTGGGGGGGTGTCCAGTCGTGGGGCCTGAACTCTGGGGCTTGGGCGCTGTCCCTCAGCTCTTCAGCTCAAGGCTAGCGCTCTATCACTTGAGCCACAGTGCCACTTCCGGCTTTTTTCTTTTTGCTTATGTGGTGCTGAGGAAAGGAAACTCGGGCCTCATGCATGCAAGGCAAGCGCTCTACCACTGAGCCACCTTCCCAGCCCTGACACTGATCTTAATTCATCAAGCTTCATGGAATCTCTGACTCTCAGTACAGCACACAAATCAGTACAAGTACTCTTGATATGTATGGCAAAACAGAACTTTAGGAGCCAGTGTTGTTTGTCTACCTTAATCACAGTTCAGAAACAACCTGGAGACCTATAACAATTGTTTCCTTCATGTTCTGATTTTCCAGAAACCTTACATTTTACTCTGCATCAACCCTACTTTTTATTAAAACTGTAGAACAAGTTTAGCACAATAAGGACTTCCTAATCTAAGAATGTAAAGACTACACACATTCCACTGATCACTATTGTTCCAGTTCCCTATACTCTTCCAGTCACTGGCCAGCAGCCCTGTATCACCCATCCATTAGTAAAAGCACAGCGCTCAAAGCTTATGAGGAAATTTCTTGTTCAAAAACTCCTTGCCCCAGATTATAACACCATCAACTTTAAAATTAAGACAAAGGGGGAAGCCAAAGAGGGCCTAACCTTTGGGTAGACTTAATTCAATAGATAGTTGTTGAGATCTTTAGGGAGCATTCTAATATGGTTACATGGCACCCAAAACAAGGTGTAAATTAAGAACAGAAAAAGAGGTGGAGGTGAGCTAAGAGAGATTGTCTACAGGTTTCAAAGTTCATAAACTATTAGCTTACTGTTCTCAGGGACAAGGGAATTTTAATCCACATATAGGTTACTGACAGGGCTGAAGAAACATGAATGACTTTATGATCCCAATATTGTTGGCAAATGCCCAGAAAGACCATGTTTAGTGGAAGATTTCTTCATACTCACCAGCACACTTTGTCCTTGTCCTGAGAGCTGGTCCAGGAGATCCCGTGCCACCCTCTCCTGGTCTGGTGAGGAGTACACTAATCTCATATTCTGTATCTGGGTCAAGGTGCCCAATTTTGTAACTGGTGGAATCCACTGGCTGCCGGTCATTCCAGCTCCCACTCGCTGTGCAGTATTCCACCTCTCGGGCCACAATGGGCCCATCCCCATTGATGGAGTTGGCATTGAGCTGTATCCATAAGTAGGTTGCTCCCACCGAAGCAAGCTGAGGTGGGGCAATGGGAACTGGTGGTTCTGAAAGGTAAATTAGAGACACTTTTCAAACACTTTGTCTTTAGTTGGAAAAAAAAAAGCTAAATATGTGTCAATGATTATAAGGCATCAACATTAAAATATAAAGAATAAACTAATGAGAATGCTTTCTATCAGCTTAATAAGAATAAGCACAGTTGCTGACTGCTAGACATATGATCCAACAATTTATCTCCTAGATATATATCCAAAGGAAATGAAATCATGATGGCAAAAACACAGTTGATACAACTGGATGCCAGTGGTTCATGCTTATAATCTAGCTACTCAGGAGGCTGAGATCTGAAGATCACAGTTCTGAGCAGAAAAACTTGTGAGGCTCCTATCTCCAATTAATGACCAAAAAGTTCAAAATGGAGGTGTGGTTTAAGTGATAGAATGCCTTTAGCCTTTAGCAAAAAAAGTCATGTTAGAGTATATAGCTCTGAGTTCACACCCTAATACCCACATGTATGTGCACCTGCGTGTGCACACACATGCGCGCGCACAATACACAATCACAGTGCTCAATAATTTCACAAAATTCACAATTGTAAAAATAAATTGCCTTTAAAAACCTAACCTGAGCTGGGAAAATTTAGTCTCACCTACCTAGGGAGTTGAAATGGATTACTGGAGCCTATAAGAAATGTGCAACACAGAAAGACTAAGTCTCAAAACAAACAAACAAGAACCACAACATCACTTATTTAAGAAGATATTCCCCTAATCGCTGTAAGACCCAACACATTTTACTCAGCTACACAGGCTGGTGACTTACCAAGAAGTCATCAGTGAAAGCTGTCATGGTGGTGGTATTTAAACAGTAGCAAGCCATCACACTCCTTATTGAGAATCTTTTTAAAATCAAAGGTACTAGAATTTTCTGTTTATCATTGAGTTTTCTTATGTTTATACCCTAAAGATACTTTTAAAAAATATTACTGAAATTATAGCTTATCTCAGCATAAAGGTATTCTTGAGATGACTAAAAAAAAAAAAACACAGAAAAAACCCCTATGACAATAGGCTCATCTATCTGGAGGAGAACTGAACATTCTGGATAATAAAGTCTGCTACTGTTAATGTTCAGTGGACCTCTAGTAACGAGTCTTATTAAAGGTTTGAATAGAAAGAAAAGCTCTGAATCAAAGAACATACTATGCTCAGCTGGAAAATGTCTAAGAAATCAATAGCAAATTCTCTCTACAACCCAAGGAAGTATCTCTCACTATTCATAACCTGAGACTGACTCTTTCCATATCACTGACTAAGAAGGCAGAGAAGGCCCTGGCCCTTCTAATTATAAGTCCTTTTCCCACTCAATCAGTTAGATGCTAGTTGAATGGCCCTCCCAGCATTAAATAAAGATTAACTACATGCCAGTGTCCTTGTTAGTGGTCCCCTACATAAAAAACGAAGTCACTCTACAAAGTCACATGTTTATGCTTCAATGAGTCATCACATAAGAAAAACACATATCTGTTGGTTTTTCTCCAAAGTGTTTTCACAGGTAGTTTGTGTCTTTTGAGGAGTGTTTTTGTTCTTTTTCATTTTGCTTCTACAGATTCATGGAAAATAAAGCCTGCTCCAATCTATTACTGGCATATGAGTTGCTTGGGGTAACTCTTCTTTTTCCCAGGGAAGAAAGACATGGCCAATACAGCACAATCTTGTTTCCTGCTAACAAGACCTTAGGAAAGCTATTACCATCTGAGGCCTGCACCTAAGATGCTATCAGACATTTCCCAGACTAGCTAAGCAACTAGCAACATCCATTCTTTTGTTGGGTTGGGATATCTTTGTTCTTTTTTATGTTTAGTTGTGCTAAATTACATTGAATATGAAATAGCACATTAGAATAAGTCAAAAATAAGACATTAAATTTTTAATGGATTTCTTTTAAGGGATATAAATGTGATCTGAATGTACTAAACTATTGTTTCTATTGTTAAAGTTCGTGATGTAAGGAGTTCTGATTTAACTTACAATGATTTAACATTAATTTCTATCATTAGGAATTTCTCGAATCAGGACAAGAACCAGGACTTTTACAAAGGCATTTGCATAGCCATAAGGTGAAAAAGCCTTTAATTACTTTCAAGATACAAATGATAAGAGTTATTAAGTGCTATTCAAAACTAAGCAGCAAGGTCACAATGGGTCAAGTGTTTGAATTTTACCCCTCAGGACATTTTTACTTAGCATCCTAAAAAGACTTGACTTCATTGTACTTTTTGTCAGAGGACTATTTTCTATGTGTATTCCCCATGGAGAAAAGAACCTCAAAATCTAAATCAAATGATTCAGCAATAATCTGGAAACAACTCGAACAGACATTCCAAAGGATTTTTGGTTAATCAACGAAAGAATCAAGAAAAAAAAAGTAAGTCAATATTTAAATTTTTGCAATGAGTCATTCTGTGTCCTTGTTTCAACGTTTTGTTATTCCCTTTCCCCTTCCCAGATTAGACAAATGTATATACAAGATGCAGGGTACCACAATCAAGTACAGAGACAACAGGGCTATACCATAGGGGGAAGAATATACAGGAAACAAAAAAAAAAATCACATAGTACATTTAAAACAATTACAACAAAAACAGACCTCTTGTGTCCATATCTTGGGGTTCATTGCACTTAGCATCAATGATATGCACAGGACAGTACATTGGAAATGAACTTTACAGGGTGGGGAGTTGGGGTGGGATGGGGAAGAGTGTGGGAAGTGGGAGGTGGGGGAGGGAAGGGATAGTGGGACAACAACAATGGAAGGGGTAACAATGATCCACAAGTAATACGCTAATTGCCTTACTCATGTAACTATAATCCCTCTGTACAGCATCTTTACAATAAAATAAAAAAAATTAAAAGTATTTTTATGACAAAAAATATTTAAATTTTGAACAGAATGTCACAGAAGGAGGGCAGGAAGAGTGGCTGAAAAGAATAATAGCAATGCAAAATAGGATCTCATGTTTGTTTTTTAACTATTTGGGATTTAACGTGGGGCCTCATATTTGTATAAGCAAGGGGTCCACTTTTGCAGTCATGAACTCAGACATTTTGTTTTCTTCATTTTTTAGATAAGGTCTCATGCTATCTTTGTTCAAGAAGCTAGCACTGTGATCCTCTTTGCGTAGATCTACCACCAGAGTAGCTAAGATTCTGGACCTGTTGCCACCAGCTATCAAAAATGAGAACATTCACACACATATACAAACATATATAGACCAATCTTTAAGTAGATGGTAATGGCTGATACATATAGATCATCATCACATTTTAGTATATGGAATTTGAACACATGAAATATATTTTACAGAAGTAAAGGTTGATGTTAACACACACAAGCATATTTACATACATTGTAGAAATATTTGTACACTCTTGTCTTTTGGGGAGTGGACATCAAATCAGCATGTGATCTTAACAAAATTATAGGCTCCATGGAATTTAGCTTTTTCCATTTAAAAAATAGGAGCAGTACAAATATTACATGGCATATAAAAAACTGCTACATATACACAAGAGGCCTAAAAATGTTACTGTATACCTTAAGTTATTTTGCCTTAAAGAAATCATTCCATTCAACTCCAGTATGTTGTCACATTTTGCAAAAATGAAACATATATAAAAATAAGATGTAACAATTATAAATGAAGAAAAAAACAAAGTTCACATCTCACCCCTATTTGCATGCCAGCAATAGGGAAGATAAGCAAGGGTAGTAAGTGTTTATCAAGGAGCTAGAGAAATACTATGCTGTCCTAAGACAGGAAAATGTGCTGCACAAACATAACCAAGAACTTTGTTTTGGAAGACTAGAAATTTCTAGTTTGCTTATATATTAACACTTTTTTATTGTGAAAATACTGTACAGAGGGGTTACAATTACATGAGCAAGATAATGAGTACATTTCTTTTTTTTTTTTTTGTCGGCCGTGGGGCTTGAACTCTGGGCCTGGGTGCTGTCCCTCAGCTCTTCAGCTCAAGGTGAGCGCTCTACCACTTCCAATGAGTACATTTCTTATCAAGCATAGTAGCCTCCTCCTTTATAACGACTTGTACATCTCATTGTTGCAATGGGTCCACCTGTATCCCTATTTAAACAATTTGTTTTTCCCCTTCCCCTCCACAAATTATACCAACATCAAATACAGTGAAAGCAGGGGTTATACTGTGGGGGAGGGACATACAAGGCAACAAAGAAATAATATTATATAAATTAACATTTTTAAGGTGGTATTTTTGTTAATTTATTTATTAGTGGTCCTGGAATTTGAATTCAGGATTTGCACGTGGTAGGCAGCCATTCTACTAGAAATCCCAAAAACTTTTTGGAGGAAGCCTGGGCTGTCCTAGAACTGAAATTCTCTGTGTCTTGGCTGGAATAAAGGTACATGGCACAATACTGAGCTATGGACTGAGATGGGGTTCATATGCAATCCTCTCGAGATCAATGTTCTGAGTTACCAGAGTTCAGGCCGAGAACTGTGTCCAGCTCAAAGAGGTAATTTTTTAAAAAGAAACTATTACAACCGTATCAAATCTTTAGGTAGGCAAACTAGATCCAAGTTTCACAAAAGACAAAACACTTAGGAAACTAATGTGACAAAACCAATGATTCAAATACATATTTTAATGCACACTTCCCTACACTGACATTCATCATGCTGTAGTGAATATTTTTCCAGGGAAACCCACCACAAACTAATATTGTGTATCCTAAGTTGTATGTAACTATGCAGTTATCTTGTGCCAGAGCAAATGCCAAACCAGCTATAGCTTTCATAATATAAGCTGTGTCTTGAAGCTTCTCAGTGTGGTTGTGGCAGAAAAATGGAGAAACAATAGTGAAAAAAAGCATTTATTTATTCTTTCTCTATTGAACTCTTTTCAAATTTATTCTAGTGAACAGATGAAAATCACTTAAATAGCCAATAATGAGAAAATGTTGAAGTGAATTATAGTGAATTTACTTGACAAAATCAGAAGACAACACAGCTATATGGGAAAATATTCATATGAATCAGAAACAAATGAGGATATTAAAACTATGTACACTATAATCATAATTGATGAACAGCCATAAAACATTCAGAAGAAAATTCAATAAAATAATGATGATTCTCTTATTATCATCAATTGAACATTTTTTAAAAAGTATTTTTAATATTTTTTTTAATTCAGAAAGGTAGCTCTACTGTTCATTCTCAGATATTAACCACAGAGCTCTTTACCAAGTCAGATAGTAAAAAACATCTCTCCCTCCTTTCCTTTGTGGCCCTTTGTGGTATGCTTATTTTGCATACCATTTTAACTACCACAGGTGTGCTTTCCACAAGTGACTACTCTGACAGTCCCATTATTATTATTTCTCTTTTATTATAAACAAGAGAATAGATGCACAGAGAGCAAGCCCCTACCCTGTGCCCTCAAAGCTTATTCAGTCATTTGAACCCAATGTTCTTCCTGAAAAGAGGAATTTGCTGGTGAAAAGAAGAGTCCATCTTAAGATGAGCAATCTCACCATTTCTATATTTAAACTAATACAAAAGGAAAACTTAAAAATAAAGCACAGATATGGGTGGTGGGGCAGCTCAGTAGTAACAAATATGTAAAGCTGTGGCTTTCATCCTCAGTGTGTGTGTAGGTGTGTGTGCGTGTGCACACACACACACACACACACACACACACAGAGGCACTGTTCTGTTCTCTTAAAAGAAACAGAAATGATCTGCCACCATTGCCTTAAATGGCTTCATGGTACATCTGTAAGTCTCAATTATTCCATTTGGGACCCAAAATTGCCCAAGATGTTTGATAATAAAATTGTCTGCCCATTATAAAAAGGATTAAACCAGCTAAAGGAAACTTGCTTTCCCTCTCTCTTTTCCCTCATCTTCCACCTCCTTGAATATAATGACTCAATTTGCCAGTCAGGCAAAATATAGTAATAGAACCTAACGGGACATTATGAATGTTGAGACAGTATTATCAATATGGCTGGTATGATATAACGGAACATTTTTATACTGACACTGTTTCATTTTATTAACCACCCTGCTATCATAAACACCCTAGCCACTGAATATTTGCATTTTAAGTGATTTTCTATCAGTAAGAAATTTTTCATTCCTTAAAAAAATTTATAGCTTTTAATCTCTATATATAGAGCTGGCAGAAGACCTTGCCAAGAGCACATTCATTGCTTTATATGAAACTAAACCAACATAAATAACATGCATTTTTCAAAAATATTGCTCACATGCAAAATTTGTACTTAAAATGCAATCCATCAGTGTAGCCTATCATCAAACTACTGTGCTGAAACAGACAAGAATAAGCTTGAGCTTTAAACAAATAATAAACTAACCACCATCTAACATATCTATTTTCATAGACTATTTGGGGATATAAAAAAACACATTAAATACCTTTAACTACCAATTCTGCATAGTTTGATATCCCAACACCTCCTTCTGTGCGAATCATGCAGCGGTACTTCCCAGCATCTCGTTTAGTGGTATTCACCACATTAAATGAAGCTATGAATCTTCTGGAACTAGTCACCTTTATTTCCTTCAGTGGAGCATCTTGGACATCAATGCCCTATATCAATGGGATGGTGAAGACAAAAAAAGATGCAATATCAACTGTCATATCAAAACAGTAGGACACATGATGATGCATTATCAATGTCACGCTTGTCCATTTTGTTTGGCTGTTCATGGCTCCAGGAAAGTTGTTTTATTGGAACAGCTGGCCAATAATTGTAATTTTGCCCAGCATAACAGTTCTAAGATTGAGGGATGCAAAACCGAGTGTGCAGAAACGTCTTGCTTTTATCCTTTCAAGATATTAATCATGCTAAATTAGTTTAACAGCAGAAGAGAGAAATTAAGTATATAGAAAAAGCCTTTACTTTGCTCCCTATCAATGTCTGGTCTTTTCATAATATTTCTTTTTTTGGTAGGTCATGGGGCTTGAATTCTGGACCTGGGCTCTGTCCCTCAGCTTTTCAGTTTAAGGCGAGTGTTCTACCACTTGAGCCACTTCAGGCTTTCTGGTTGTTTACTGGAGATAAGAGTCTCATGGACTTTTCCTGCCCAAGCTGGCTTTGAACCATGATCCTCAGATCTCAGCCTCCTGAGTAGCTAGGATTACAGGTGTGAGTCACCCGCATCTGGCTTCATAATATTTTGTCTTATATTTTGTATGCAAGGATAGGAAACAAGATTAAGTCACCTACTGCTCTATTACTGATCTCAATTTATATGTGAAGAAATAAACAATTTGTCAAAAATAACATTAAGGCCAATGTGTGGCCCAAGTCTATAATACTAGCTACTGAGGAGATGAAGCTGTGGGATCAGTTTGAGGACAGTCAAGAAATAAAAGTTCATGAGAACAGTGTGAGTGGCTCAGGCCTGCAACACTAAATATTCAGAAGGCTGAGATCTGAGGACTGATGTTCAGAGCCACCCCAGGCAGACAAATCTATAAGCCTATTATTTCCAACTAAACAGCAAAAAGCTAGAACTGGTGGTATGGTTTAAGTGGTACAGCACCAGCCATGCGAAAAGTAGTTGAGTGAGAGAGAATGTGAGGCTTTGAGTCCAAACTCCAGCACCAACGTAAGCATGCAAGCAAAAGCATACACACATGCATACACATACACAAAACATTCATGAGATTATCCCAACCAATGACAGTAATGGTGGCACAACTCGTTATCCCAGCAACAGGGGAAACACACTAACTGGTTGCAGTGGTGAATATCTGTCATCCTTTCATACAGGGAAGCAAACAGGATCATAATCCAGCTCATCTGTGCATAAAACAAGATCCTATCTTAAAAAATAATACACAACAGGCTGATGAAGTGGATCAATTGATACCGTGTTTGCCCACCAAGCACAAACTCTAAGTTCAACCCAAAGCTTCAAAAAGCAAACAAACAAACAAAAAACAGCAAAATCTACATTGAGATTACTATATTACCAAAGACTAGATGTGGAGGACTAATCTAAACTTTATGGTGTTCTTCTCTGATGTACAAAAAGAAAACAGAAATTGATGTTCAATAAATACTACCTGGTGCTGAAATGTAACAGGAGAGCATTTCCCAGTACCACCTAAAGTTGATCCCAGTTCTAGAATGTTTTTTATCTTTTCTTATCCTTGAACTCTTAGAGTTACTCTTATCTGGAAACCCATGCTATGTTTGCAAGAGTTTAAAGCCACAAAAGAAGGCTACAGATGCCAGCTCTCTACATATTTTGCATTTAGTTGGAGAGGAGTTATGTATAACATGTTACTTGCATTTTAGGAGTAAACAATAGAGGTCAAAGCTAATAAGTGTCATTAAACACTACCACCTATTATTCAGTCTGCAATCGGTTTCTGGGCATCATTCATGGGTCTAGACACTAGGTTTCACAAGGGGGAACAAAAGGTAAATAGTTGTGGCATTTCCAGGTGTCATCTGGGGAATGCAAGCTTGAAATGAACACACAGTCACCAATGATAGCCTGTATGGGGAAGGGGAAGATCAGGTGGCTGGCAGAAGTCATACAGTGGACCTTATTGCTACAATAGGCATGGGAAGCCAGTTTGGATAAGTAACACATGAAGTGAGATTTGAAGGGTCAAGTGAAGCTAACCAGACAAAGGGGAAGGGAGGGAAAGGGCATTCTAGCCACAGGAAACAGTACAGGAGTCCCACGATGTTTAGAAAGTACTAGATAGAGTAAAGTTAGTAAGAGGAATTGGAAGAGGTGGACAAACCCCTGTGAATTCAGGCTGTGTTGAAATGCTTTTTATTTATAACTACAACAATGCCAGGCTACAAAAGAACAAAGAGCATCTACACTTTTCAGTGCTCTATATTATGCTAAGTCCTTTAAAAGCTTTTATCTGTAGTATTTTTATTCACAGCAGGTCCTTAAGGACTGGGGTTTAGGAGTTAGCCTGATCAGGGTGCCAAATCAAACTTGATTTTTTAAATGATTTACTTTCATAGGACCCTGCTTTCTTCATCTCAAAGAAGTGACTTTCAGAGCTGTTGTAAAAAATCAAAGATATTTGCAAGGACACTGGCATAACTGAGTGGCCCCACAAATCCCTACAGAGCTTTGGATGAAATGAACAATGAGTTCCAGGAAAAAGGCAGACAGGCTTTCAAACTATCACTTTTATTACCGACATGCCAAAAGACATTAACCTCTGGCTGAGGTGAGCAGAAACAATGGGTTTGTTAATACTGAAGCACAGAATTAAACAGACTCACCCACTAGTCACAAGCGGCATTAGAAAACCACAAAGGCCCTTCATATGGTTAGATGTTGCTGTAAAACTCACAGGATGGAAGAACAGGGCTTTCATAGGCAGTTAGCTCCCTGAAGAAGGGGCTGAGCTAGTCACGATTTACACTTCCTCCCAGGCAGTTCCTGCTTGGGCAGGGAGAAAGCAGGCAGAAGTGTTCCTCTACTACAGTTCCTGCCACATGTAAGGAAACATTAGAAGTGGGGAACCAAAGTTCCACTTACATTATCCTTAGTATTAAGTGTAAAGAAATATTTATAGCTTAAAAAGCCATAAATCATAATATGAAGTCCTATACACAGCTTATGTAAGTGTGAGATTTACTAAATTCCAGAAATTAGATCTAACAGCACCAAGAAGTTAAAAAAAACAATAACAATATTAGCTAATAGAAAGTTAAAAAAACCAATAACAATATTAGCTAATAGAAAGCATTCCTTTCTGCATTCCATAATCCAGTTTCTAATTCTCTCCATCTAAATAACCAAATACTGTCATGTAGTCTGACATTTACTCTTCTACAAAATTAAGTATTTCCTCAAACTGAAAAAAAAACACCTCAATTCTCCAATTGCTGAGGGGGTAAAATACTGAACCCTGAAGAAAGGCATATTGCATACTGATAAGTTCTTGTTTTGTTTCTTAAATGGCAACAACAAAGGAGTTAAGGGGACCATCTAACATTTATATTTACCTAATTGTGGCATTAACCCTGTAAGAATAGACTTTTAAGACAATCATATAATATTTTCTAATAGATGCATGTGCCAAAATAATTTTCAAGTATGCACTGCAGATCTCTTATAATAAGTTAAGTCTATGCTGAGCAAACCTCCCTTTTTGATTCATGCATACAATGGAGAAGCAGTACAAGGGAGCTGCCCTATCACACCACAAACTCTTCCTATGAAATACATAACCTCAGAAGAACAAGGGTACGAAACCCAAATTTATCAAATGAACTCTCTAGAAGGAGCTTTTCTTCTTTTGAGACATAATAGAAAAAAATGACAGAAAAGGAAAAGTTATAAAGGAAAGGGAACTATAATTTAGGATACTTACTATTTTACTTTTAAGCATATTATATTGAGTATAATCGGTCTCCTCTAGGAAACCACAAGGTATTCATGTCATGGGCTTAATTTTCCATACTTAATTAACCAGGTACACTACATAGATGCCCAAAGAACTTCTTGATGTTGATAAAGGAAGCCTCAGTGGAAAAGAATAAATATGTGTGTATGTATATATATGCATATTTATGTATGTTTGCATGTATGTTTTGTGTTCTCTTCGTTTTGTTGTGCTAAAATAAAACCCAGGCAAAAACTTCCCCACTAATCTACACAAGTTTAACCTTATTCTAATTCTTTAAAATGGACAATACATACATTTTTGAGTTTCTGGGCATGCACCATTCAGCAACTTTGCTCAAACTCATCATAATTGTTCCAGAAAATGGGCCCTAAAGATGTCTATACTCTCGTCTTTAAAACCTGTGACTATTACCTTCCATGAAATATATATATATATATATATATAGAGAGAGAGAGAGAGAGAGAGAGAGAGAGAGAGAGAGAGAGATGTGAACCTGGGGATGGGAAGATTATAATGCACTACTTGGGTGACCAGTATCACAAGGGGTCTTAAAGAGGGAAGACAGGACAATCAAATATGGAAGGAGGAGATGTAATGACAGAAGCACAAATAGAGTGATGCTCACAGAAGATGCCACAAGGGACCAAGGGCCAAGAAATAAAGGGAGAAGCTAGAAAAGGAAAGGAACAGATCTTCCCCCTGGAACTCCTTGCTGTCCCCTTATCTAAGTCTTGTGAGCTCCAGAAGTTAATGAAGCTGCTAATTTGGAGTAATTTGTTACAGCAGCAATTTGACAATAATATAACCATCTGACTAATGAAAGACCTGTGACTTTTTGAAGGTGTGCAGTCACCATATTTTCTAATTTGTCAGAACTACATAACAATTATTTCAGGTTGTATTGGAACCTTATTCACTAGCAAGAATTCAATTGAAAAGCTTCTACTGCAACCAAATCTAAAGAACAAAGTAGGAGAACTGACACTTTTCAATTTCAAAATTTAGTAAAAAGCAACAGTAATAAAAGGAAGTACAGCATTGACACAAGGCTGGATATAAACCAATGGAATAGTTTTTTTGCAGAATGATATTATTCTATTAGACAGTACTTTTAAATCAAATAAATAGTAATTTCCCTGTTGTATTTTGAGCAACTATACTGACCCCGTCTACACAACAAGGATATT